TTTGCATAATTATTTTATTCTCTATTTTTCTTCTTCAAACAAGCATTCTTTTTCTTTTGTTTTTCACATTCATATTCACTCTTTTTCTTTTCAATGCTTGTTTGACATTTTTTAAAATTTTGAGTAACCTACCACTTTTCTTTTCATTCTCCTCAACTTGAATTTAACCAAACCTCAAGTGAATTCTCCTTGCTTTTTATGGCAATGAATACAATTTAGAACAAATTCAAATGTTCAAGAAATTTTTTTAGAATTCCACAAAATTCAATGATGAACTATCTTTCAAATTATGCACATAAACCAAGTTCATCACTAAAATGAGATCTAAATTGTTTAGTCTCAAAGGGTTTAACAAATACTCACTGCTCACGAGTAAGTTACTTTTGGATATGGTTGTGCTCAATATAAAAAAAAAACGTCTTGATCATTTCTAATGCTTCCACAAAATCACAATAATCAAAAGATAAAGCATGAACCAAATTAACTAAACAAAGTTATCATCCATCCTAGCATATATTAAACAATGGAGGTTTCTCACAACTTGTGACTTTTGGTCCTAAGTGATACAAGCATTCAAACAAAGTTGCAAAATGAAACAAATACACATGTGTACAAAGCATAAATTTCTTAAATCATTCTAATATTCTATAAAGCAGTACAATTTACCTTGCTTGCATTCACATGATCAACATTGTACCATCACCATCCAAACTCGGAAGAATCTTCATTGGATATTTTGATACAAATAGCAACCAATCTAGAAGAAGTTCTCATCATTCCTGATTAACACTTGAAAAAACATAAAAGGAAACAAGTATATATAAAATATAAACAACTGTACAAAGCTAAAAAAAATATAGAAACTATTGCAAAGCACTCAATATCTAAACACCAATCTCCGCCAATGGTATCATTTTGTTCGAACTGCAGTAAAGTGGCAAGAAGCAAAAATTTAGATTTGGAAGGTATCTCTCCGAGATTTATATCATCTCCACAGGGATCGGTGTGGGGGAAAGAATGTCATTCAACGGTCTCTATACTTCTAAGCTTATGGTTACAAAATGGTTGAAAGATTAAAGATACAATAGATAAAAGCTGAAAATGTAAAGGCGGAAAATATAAAGTAAAGACTAAAATATAAACAGAGTCTTGTTGGGATTGGATCTCATTGATTGATAATATATGCACTCTTCTAATCATGTTATGCACAACTCAAACATCCTTCCAATACCATCATGTATCACCCTTAACAGAGGTTATGTCTAACGCAAAGTCGACATGCCAACTGTATTATCTCATTGGTGATGTCTCATGCAACAAAACCAACATAGAACATTAAGAATTGATATTCATGTGAATGTTAAACCTAAATCTATGTCTAGATTTTAGACCTAACAGATATTCAAATAACATCCATATCGAATTAATGATTTGATTCATATATAACATCGTGATCAGAATGCGTACACATGATTAACCCTTTTTACATGTATTCAACTAATTTACCAAATGTATGTGAACATAGTTCTTCATCTCTATTATTACGCATCCTAACAATACCGCTTGTGCCCAAAATGTTATTGTGGTCTTTACTGTGTTAATCCTACTCATACTACTCATGCTACTAATCAACACAATAAAATAAATGTGATGCAAATGAATATCAACTCACAAGACCATGTCAAAAGTTTGCTCATTGATAGATGAATATATAAGATCTAAGATTTGAAAAAGGTTTTGTCAAGACCCACAAATAAGAAATCAAAGACAACACCAATATTGAATAAAAACTAGTTCACAAAACATATATTAGATGAAATATATAAGGTATCAAAAGATAACATCCAAACCCAACAAGAAATCGAATCTCCTACCTTCTCCCTCTTAGTGTTTGTGTTTCTCTCTCAAGAATGTGCTTGGAATAAAAAGAGATAAAGTTTTGATCCCAAAAGGTACAAGTTATGTCTAAAAAAACAAGAAGAACACTTAAATAGTATTTACAAAATTTGTCATGTTCGCCTATAGAATAACCTATTCGCCTTGCAAAGTCTACTTTTAGGAACTTCAAGTGCCTTAGGAGTAGTTAAACTGCCCTTAGAAAATATCTGAGTTCATTGAGCGAACACTTCTTCGCACAACGAACCTCTTCGCTTCAACTTCTCTTAGCGAACATTGGGCCTTTTTCCTACTGCCTCTAATCTGGGATGGTTCGTTGGGGCATAATAGCTAATAGTTGCAGAGCAGGCCGATGGTGATGATGACCAGGTTATGCAGCATAAAGCATATACATTGAGAGCATATAGGTTGTACTTGGTTGGCACGTCCACATTTGTGGACAAGAGTGCTTATTGCGTGAATGTGGTTTACCTCAGATACTTCAGTGGCTTAGAGTGGATTCATGAGTACGACGGGGGGTTTGCTTGTTTGATTTACTTATACTACAAGTTAGGTGAAGTTTATATGTCAAAGACCAAACAGATGGAACCTAGTTGCATGCTGCTGACGGTAATATGTTTGCATCCCTTACTGTTTATGTGTCATTTTCATAACACTTGTGTTACGTCATTACTAATAATTCATATGTACCATTTTTAGGCATGGATCCTTAAGTGCTTCTTAATGCATATTAGGTTGGTCATATGTTGAAACATACATTGAGGATATGCCTCGTGCTTGTGAATTCGTCCCACTCAGAGGGAATCAGTCGACTGAGCCCTTTAAAGTGTATCTTGGACAACACAGTCTTCTACTATAGATGGTGGCTTATGCGCCAATTCGGGTATATGAAGTTTGTTCCAAGAGACCATTCCAATTCTTTTACTCCAACTATGGTCCGCAGAGAAGTAGATGCCATGTATGATGATTTTCTTAATCATCTGGTACCGGATGAAGCATGAGGTATTGTAGCTCCTATCGACTGGAGTTATGGATACGACTACGTCTAATGGTATTTCAAATTGTCAGATTCTTATATGACACCAGATGCTCTAGGAGATCCACCTAAGTCAGTTTATCAGGAGATATTATAGGAGGAGCGGACTATGGCAGATCTAGATGTTGATGTGTTTCCTACATGTCATCATATTATGGATCTTTCACGAACGAGTATAGACAAAGGAGTCTTTCTGAAAGGATCTCCTGGAAGGGATGTAGATGTCATTCTTACTGAGGCATAGACGACACTGCAATATAAGAGGCAGCGAAGGAACAAGGGGGTCCGATATATGCAGCAATATCGTATCTTTATTATGAATTATGAATATTATTATCAATTATTACTTTGTTGTTTTGACTGTATTATGTATTAATTCATTCATATATGATATTTTCATCGTGTGCATTAAGTATATGGTTTTATTGATAAAAAAAATTACAATAGTATATTATGTATTGCTTCATTCATATATGACATTTTTATCTTGTGCATTAAGTGTATAATTTTATTTATTAAAAATTATTATGATAATATAGTTATAATACATAGTAAATTACATCGGTATATTTTTAAATAAAAAGTCAAATTTTACTATCTAAGGTGTTTACGAAAGTGCATAATCGTATGACAAAATGAGTATGTCTCAATTAAGAACACAAGGAGTGCGTATAAGATTATTACAAATGTGCATCTCCACAATATTTTCAGGCAAAAAGAGAGTTATAGCTCATTTATATGTATTTGGTATGAATTTGATGCATCTAAAAATGCACTTCCGGATTCGTAAGGCCCTTTTCAAGTTTCTTTAGGGTGCATCTATAACACTTCGATTTAGAATTATCAATTATTTTATTTATTTATTTGTTTTAATTGGTGTGAAATTAATTAAATAATTATTTTGTTTGAATTATGTGAATTAATTAGTTGGTTTGGTAAGATTATTTAATTAAAATAATAGAAATAAGAAATTAGTAAGAATGGGGTGAAAATTGTGAATTAATAGAAATAAAGGAGAGCAAGGAGTCAAAAATTTAAAGAAATAGTTCACTCTAACAATACCTGAAATACGTGAATTTTGGATCAAACATAATTAAATCAACACAACTATTTTACGTAAATTACCAATTCACATAAAATTGTTGATTTAATTATGTTTGATCCATTGGTGGTGTTAAAATGTGATTATTTGAATGTATTTCTCACCCTTCTATTTGAATGTTGTCTTTACATGAACATTATGAGTAACATTGCTAAAGTAGAAAACAGCTCTTGAAGTACTTTGAATTAATTCTTATATTATGTTTGAACTCGAGACTACTTATGTTGTTTAGATTTTTTAAATTACTTTGATTTGACTTTTGTAAACTATTTTTTCTTATGTTATGAAGTTAACAATTATGAGTTGAATTTTGTAAACTATTTTTCCTTATGTTATGAAGTTAACAATTATGAGACTAGACATTGTGAGTTGTAATATTATTATTAATTACTATATTAATGATTCTCCTGCAATGACATCTTAAAAATCAGATATGTAAACATCTCAAATACATATCAGAAGAGTTGAATGTCATTTAAATATTTTAAGTATAAATATGTGTATTAAACTATTCTGTTGTAACCTTAGTTACAAAGCAAGTTATGTGTTTTTTTGTGTATGACACCATAAGGTTGTATTATGTTTTAATCAAATTCCATAATAATTTTATGTGCGGGAAGTTGGGTGTTACAGCATCTCCACCACTTAAGAGGGGAGAAGCAATCCCCTCATATACTAAATGAATGATCCAATTGTAAAGGAACCCGCATGCAAAAACCTATGATTTTTTCAAAATAGTTTGCATAACAAAATTTTCAGACTGTAAACCTGGGGCCAGTAATTAGGATTGACATAACTGAGCTTAAACATACTGTACACGGCAACAGAGGGAATTGGATGACATTATTGGCTTTGCATAACCTCTATTTACAATAAAGTTATTATAAATAAGGCAGGGAATAGAAATGCAAGTGGTATTCACAGCAAGTGCCAACAAAGATATATACAGAATCATGCAACCATATACTAGAATGTCTCTTCTGGCTTTAGGAAATTGTAATATTCAAGTTGTGTCATCTCCCCACCGGTTGCAGAATCAAACTGACATCGATAGAAGCTGCATTAACAGTTCAATAAACAATTGCATCAGATGTTTTAATTCACAAGAAAAAGAGCAAGTCATTAACTACAAATACAATGCATCAATATGGTAAGAGTTGATCATCTAAAATTTGACCCCAATTTTATGTATTTGTTTCAAGATATACTCCATCCTTTCATCTCTAACCTTTGGCCTTCTAAGATTTTTACTTTTGTCCCAATATAAAAGTAAGCATATGTTTTTCACTGTATCTTTACAAAAACCCAAAGCATGCATTAAATGAATTAAGAGCAATTGGGCAAATGAGTCTACACATGTCTAAACATTTTGTTTCTTGATCAGGGACAGGATTAAAGTTTTATAAATTGTATTAGAAAATATAAGGTACATAGAAATTATAAATATAAACAATGTTAAAATATAACCCTGAAGCTATTTGTTTGATGCTGATATTGAAGAAGCATTCGAACCTTAAAACCTAAAAGAAAAAAAAGCACAATTCTTTATATTCACAATGATTCTACCAATTAATCTGATTTCTCTGTTAAGATTAGACTACCACTGGCACAAACCTTAACGATGCAATCAGCCTCTATCAATTTTAGAGGGTAATCTACAGTTATAGAAGTAAATTATAAAAGTTAAGTTTCAGATCATACTTCCACCATGCTAGTTCTATCTGAATGTTTCTAGTATCTCTAAGGAACACCTTGAAAAAAATATGAAGGCAATGCAATGACAGGATAAAAAAGGCACAGATATGATCTATTACTGTAATACCTGCCATCCATGCCGAGTATTACAATTGTATTTTTCTGATGGCCAAAGGCAACATTATACTGTAAACCTTCTTGCAAGCGAAATTGAGCCACAGACCATTCTGAGCTAAAATACTTCGGTAATACACCTACAAAACAGAAAGAATTAAGACAATTGTGAGCAGCAGCAGCTTGTTCTATATAAAATCTAACTTTCCAGACCAAACAAAACCCTGTACTACTACAGCTACACATGTGGCTTGAGCTGGTTGTTCTATAGTTACTGAACAAAAACCTAATATCCATACACTATAACTAATAAATGAATAACCCACAGTGACAAATGCACAAACCTCTAATAAATGAGAGAGACAAAGCTGCCGATGGACTAGTAGGACTAGACTCAGATGTAGTATGTGATCTCTCGTGCCCCAACAACCCTGAATCAACCTTCAGGTTGAATACATGAACAGTTCCCTTGTCACTCGAGACAGCTAACCACTGAGCCGTGGGAGAAAAGGCAAGGCTATATATCTCAGCCCGGTCAGCACCTCTTCGTACCTGAAATCATTATTACCATTCAAACTTCCAAAACAATTTAACTCATCACATAAATAAACAAACAAAAAACCTAACCAACATCTTAAAACAAACGGCCCCAAATGAACCTCAACCTAAAGTCCAAGCAGTATATCAAACTATAGCAACAGAACTTGAAAACAGATAAACTAAATACTCACATAAAAAACAAAACATAACAACAAACTAAGAGTCATATTTCTATATAGGAAAATAATAAGATTTTAGGGAAATCCTTCTAAATATGTAGCGGAAGAATATGTAAATGCAAAAGGTCAAATCAACCTCTTGGAGCAAAGAACCATCCAAGGTATTGAAAATCCTAATGAGAGTCCCCTTGGAGCTTGCAGTAGCAAGTAAAAGTCCATCCTGGGTTATGTTGAAACAAGCAATCCTAGAATCATGTGCCATGATGAACTTGGTTCTCTTGGAAGCATAATGTTCAACCCTAATCTGACCTTTCTGCAACCCAGGACAAGCCAACACCATATTTTCCAAATGATGCGAAACCTCACAGAGACCCTTAGGGTTTGTAATAGTCTCAATTTGATGAAGAACCTTAAGATCAGAGAAATTATAAACAAAAATCTTATGCCCCAAAACAACAACAATTCTATCCCTCCGGAGACGAATACCTTTCACCTCCGATCGAAAAGACAACTCTCCGATACACCGCGACTGATGATCGTCCCAGATCATCACCCTATCAGCCGGATACCGAGGGTCCGATCCCCCGCCAACGAAAGCAAGAATATTGCATCGGAACAACATGTGAACCAAACCGATTCCCCCGCCATGACCGAAATCACGTCGGAATATTTCACGGAAAGGGTCACAGTTAAAGATTCGGAAGCCTTGATCGGTGCCAACCGCGAAGCAACCGGAGTCTTGGTTGAAGGAGATATGGAGAGCGGTGGATGCAGAATTTGGGGATGGATCAGGGGGAGAGGGAATCGAGGTTAACGAAGGTGGTTCTTCGGAATCGAGAGGCATTAGGGTTTGAGAGGTGTGAGACATTTAGGATTGAAAATTAGGGTTTGAGAAATGATTGATTTGGGGGGAGAAGAGAGAATAGAAAGAGCTATCTATCTATCTATCTTCTGAGGAGAGGTGGTTTGGGTTGGGTTGCTTTTACTTCTTCTTCAAGGGAGAAACACACATGGCATCACAACGTGTGTACACATACTTTACATATATTTTGTTAACAAAAATCAAAACTAGTTTAGCTAAATTAATAATGCTCTTTAAATTTATCTAATATTTAAGAAAAATAACCGAAAATCAATTAGAGTATAATCAAATTTGTTTTATTGGACTGATTATAGACATGTTTGTTGTAGTTTTAGAAAACCATTTTTGAAATGTTTATATTTTTGTTATAATTTTTTAATAAAGTTTTAAATGAAACATTAATTTAAAATGTTTTACATCTTATGTGATATTTTATATGATATATTTTTTAAATAAAAATTATTTTGAATAATCTATAATAAAATAAATAAATATTTGAAGAATTATGTGATTTTTTAAAATTTTCTCCATCTCATAAAAAAATTATTTTTTAAATTTATTGAATAATCGATGTATATAGTCTATATATAAATCAAGTACATTGATCATTCAATGAATCTCAAAAATTAATAAAAAATTTAGTAGAATCTTAAAGAGTCCTTTTTAAATAAATTGTCACAAGTTAAAAAGTTCATCGATATTGTTAAATCTCACACAAATATTCAATTTTAAACGTTCTTAATTATTATTCACGTAAATATATAACCATTATTATTCCTTTTTTTATATAAAAAGTATTATTATTAGAACTACTTTTTAAATATACTTTTTTTTAATTATAGCATACAAACTCTAATGGTATGTCTCCTTGAGGATTTTTAAATGGAAGGAAAGAGATGGAATATTTTAAATGAAAAGTGTTTTGTTCAATATTTAGAGGAGAAAAAAAAAAGGAGGGGATCAAAATTCTCATTGAGATTTTCTAGTTTTTCAAATCAGAATTTTTTTTAAGGAGAAGTGATATATATATCACTAAAATACTCGTGTCTAGCGTCAGTGTAAATATAATATATGTATTTATTTTTAAAATATAATAAAAATAAAATGAAAGACAAAATTGTTTTTAAAAAAATTATTATTTTTAAAATAAATATTAAAATTGCAGCTATAATTTTTTCATATATAAAAATATTTTAATTGATAGTATTGTTTTTATATAAATATTATCTTTATTTTAATATTATTTATAATAAAAAATTGAATTAATAATAAACTTGCAATAACAGTAACTTCATATAACTGTTTTAATTTGGTGTTTTTAAAAAAGATAAGTTATGATTTAGTAAAAATTTATTTTCTATAATTGATCAATATCATCAAGAATATTAATAATAATAAAAACCTTAATTTAATAAATAAAAATTATATATTAAGTAATTAAAATTCTCATAACTCATTAAAGCATATAAATTTTTTGATAATAACAAGCAAAGTAAATACTCATTAAGTTTGTTGAATTTGTTGCATTGTATTTATACTATACAAATATTTAAAAATAATTTTAATAATCATCAAAATTCAATTTTATATTACATTAAATTGAACATTTATAATAAAATAATTTTCAAAATTGAAAAAAAATTATTTAAATAAAAATCATTTTCTAAGATCTCAATAAAAATATATTTACTTTTTTACCTTGTTTAAAATCATATATTATTTTAAGTATATTTAATTTTATTTTCTTTAATTGCACACGGAAGATAAAATTATTGTAATAATGATTGTACCATAGAAACTATACAAAATAATATTAACATTGTATGATAAATTTATAATTTAATACTGGTTAATGTGTTTTAATGATTTTTTTAATACAATTATTATTATCTCTTAATATGATATACTATTTTTAATTCTAGACAATTATTATTTTTAAATAATATTTAATAAACAAAAATAAAGGATATGGAGTAGAAAAATAGATTAAACATCCAATAATAGTTAAATAGATTGAAGATAAAGTTTTTATAAAATATTAATATATTAATAGATAAATTTTCTATAAAATAATAAAGTTGTTTCGGTAATAATTAATTATGAATTGTAAAGTTTATATTAATAAAGTTTTTTATAAATGATAAAAACAAATAAAAAAATTTATAGATAAACTTCTATCATTAATTTGATGATACAAATTAAATTAAATAAATCATAATTTTGATTTTGAAATGAATCCAATTTCATATTTTTTGTGCATTAATAATATTCATAATTTTGACATAATATTCATCTCTGTTGAATCAAGTTCTCTTTATTCTTTTAATTTTCAATCTCTTCTTTATTGATCTCTTTATAAAAAATAATTTAAATAAGTGAAGGTATAGCTACAATTTACAAAATCATTAAAAAAAATTAAAACTCTCAAATCACACTATAAATCACTTTAAAACAAAATTTAAACCTCCAAATCACATTACAATCTCACTTTACATTGAATTTAAGAAAATAAAGGACATTAATTAATGTTTTTTAAAACAAACAAATAATAATTATCTATGGGTTATACTACAAATTTAGTTGAGAATGAGATGTATAATGTGATTTTTAAACTTATTACTCTCATTGTCTAATCTAATAAAATAGAGAGAGAAAAATTGATTTAAATAATAGTTAAAATGGGATGTATGATGTGATTTTTTCATGTCTACAATGTTCAATCAGCTCAACTGTATATATTTTAAATTTTAAATATACAATTAATAAATAAAAAATAATAGGTTTAATATCTTTTTAGTTATATAAGTTTATTTTGAAGTTCATTTTGATCTCTTAACTTAAAAAAAATCTATATTATTCTTTTAATTCTTCAAAACGTTTCATATTAGTTATTTTTGTCTAACTAACAATAAATTTATCGATTGATTTTTAATTTTTTCGTCAATAATAGAGTAAATATGACTAATATAAAATATTTTAAAAAGATAAAGAATTAATATTAAACCAAAATAATCCCAAAATTAAAATACAAGAAATAAAAAGAATATTAAGCTAAAATAATAATATAAATGTTGGAAAGTACTGATTAGGAATTTTTTTAATAATAACTAACTATTATATTTTATTTACTATAAAAATAAAGTATTCAAAATATTTTTTAGATTGGCTATGAAATCAATCTTCTGTCGTCGGATGAAATGGCGACAGAGGTTATTCTGAAGCAAATCGCCATGCTGATTGGCGACACAGGCATTTTGGAAAGGAAGTCTCCATTTTGATTGGCGACACAGTGGCTATATTAGGGTTTGCATTTTCTGTTCTTTTAATTTCTAATATTAATTGTCTTTTTATTAATATTTTCTATAAAAAAAATATTAAATATATTTTTAATTAATATTTTAATTTATGTAAATATTTTAATAAATTATTTAAGAATAACAATATAATTGAAATCAAATATTTAAATACATATTTAAATGGTAATAACATTAAGTTTGTTATTAAATTTATAAATATTTTAATAAATATTTTAATTATCTATTAATAAATATTTGTCATTAAATTATGTTGTTTGTTTTTCGTAATGAATTGAAATTTAAATAACCTTAAAATAATATAGACATGTAAAAAATATTAAAATATATTAATTTACAATATAATGACAATTGCAACTAAAAAAACTAATGGCCGACTCTATCCAAGCGACCACTGGTGTCACACTGCAGGGGATGCGCGTTGCGACGAGGTTGTTGTGGTGTGTCTGGTCGTTGTGTATTGAGTTGTGGAGGAGGGTTTTGTTGGGACGGCCCCGGCGTATCAGATAGATTTGGCAGCATTTGACCCCAATAGTCGGGAGGTCCACTATCAACGGCGCTTCTGTAGTTTAACCCAATGCCCATGTTTTCGTAGGATTGTCGGGGAGGTTGGGTGGAGTATGGACGGTATGGTTGTCCGAATTCGTACATCGAATTGGGTTGGAAATGGTGTGTTGGTTGTTGTGGGGTGTGGTAGTCAAATAGTGGATAGTTTGAGGAGTAATTGAAAGGGGTAGGGTCAAATGAGTTGTCTGGGCTATAGGTGGATGGAGTAAGCTCAAAAGACGTATCAGGGCTATAATGATATGGTGGTTGGGGCTGGGACTGAGTGGGTGGCATGTACGGGTCATGGTAAGGATGTTGTTGTTGATGGGGGCATTTGGTGGCATGTATGGGTTATGGTAAGGCTGATTTTGAGCACTGGACTGTTGTTGTGTGTTTGAAGAAGAAGCGCGATGCCTTGGGTCAACCAAATAGGTTGGCTGGGACAGAAATGGTTGAGACGTCGTGACAGACCTAAACCAAGTCATATATTGAAGACTTGGCCTAGCCCCGTGCATAATATGGTCGGTCAAGATGTGCTGCCTTCTTCTCTTCCAGTGTTTACACAATTCCTTCGCAAACTCCTTCCAATGACTGACACTCCACTGTGAGTCCACCCACTTTTGATGCCACTGCCCTAACTCTACCGGAGCATCTGGAATATCCTGGTGCATCCCAAATTGTAGTTTCACCCGGTCACTTTGGTGCATCTCCATCGTAGTGAACCTAATTATGGGTGTTCTTGATGTCCACACAGCAGCATCATTGGGGTCGGGCTGGTGGTTGAGACCATCGTACGACATCCAGACAAACTACAATAAAGGTGGATACATTTAGTCAAACAGAGATAGACAAGTTTATTCATATAAGTTAGACAAATTAAAGGTAAATAACTTACATCATCTGGCCCAAGGTGGTCGATGAGCTTGCGGTATTGAATTATAGAGTGCCTGGGACATCTCTGATAATTCATCCCTGGAACAGACCACCTAAAAAAAGAAACACATATAAGTTAGCATCTAAAACAATAAGGAACAAATTATTAACTTACAAAGAAAATTTGGTTGCTAAATAATCTTGAAAAGAAACTTACTTATTGGCGTACGGGAATGTAAAAGGATTCCGGTTTATTGGAGCAAGCGTTGGCAT